GCACGATCTCCGCAGAGGGTTGCGCGTCAAGTCTCCAAAACGAGCGTTTCGTACGAGACTTCGTCAAAAACTCACACGTCAAAGTCTGCAAAACGAGCGTTTCGTACGAGACTTCCTCCAAAAGTCAAGCGGAAACACCCATCGGAGCACACACATCACGCAGTCCTGCCAAGCAGTTTCGCGATTCCAGCCCCTCCAAACAACATCCGCTCACACGCCAATCCCAATGGGACAGCGACATTCACCTCTACCACAACTCACAACCTCACGATTCCCTGCGCCTGCCACGAATCTTTCCCCATCCACACGTCTAACGCGCACAAAGTACTGCGCCTGCCACGAAATGTCACCTCCCTCACACCTCGCAACCTCACGATTCCCTGCGCCTGCCACGAGAATTGCACTTCCACGCTTCAAAGCCCGCGCGAAGTCCTGCGCCTGCCACGAAAAGTGACAATATCATCGCATGTGAGCTTCAACAAAATTTGCACCACACCACACGTTTGGAATGATTTCGACCCGTTCAGAGCACACTCCCATCCATCAAAATCACCATTTCAGCTGAGACTTGGCACGAAAACAAAGCTTCGATGCCACACCCTGAAACGCAAATCCCAATGGCACGGCCACATCCAACACCCCAAAAACACGACTCTCCAAACGCTAATCCCAATGGAACTGCGCCGTAATCTGCGGATCTCACAAAACGCTGCGCCTGTGCAGCGAAGTGCATCACGTTTCTTGCGCGACATGTCCGTGTCACGCAAATCACAATGGAATAGCGGCGCAAACTGACACGTGACACATCCATGCAAAGTCACTTGCAAAAGCTTCCCCCAATGGCAGCAAATTTGAGACGCGACGACGACGAGAGACGACGACACGACGCAAGCCACGCGAACACAGCTCCAACCCCCAGACCCCCAACTATAAACGGGAACCTTTCGCTACGCATTCGGGAAAAACAACGGTGGTTCCTCTAGGCGGCATGGCGCTGGGTGACCTGCGAATTCATATTGGGTCCCTAGGGATCCAGTCGTACCTTCTGAGAAGGTACTTGGATCCTCCAAACCTACATAACAGGGTCTCCAATGACCTGAGAAGGTACTTGTATCCCTAGGGGTGTGTATTGTTCTTGTTGGGAAGACCCCCGTGGCTGGGTAGACTGGTCTGTCCCCTTGCTGGTGGTCGGAACGCCCGGCGGTTCGGTCTCCCTATTTGAGCTTCAGAGCTATCTTGATTGAACAGGCCAAAAGCAGTTTTGGGAGATTCAGGGATCGAATCCCCGCTTCTGAAGCGAACCACCCTCCGGGGCCCCATCTGCCCAAGTGTTGCATCTTCTTCCTGGAAACCCCCCAAAAAAACCTAACACTTGTGGATGTCGTGGCCGAAGCGAGCGGCTCACCACGTTCACGCAGCTTTTGATGATGTTTAGTATGTGAAAAAAACACAACACACAGTTAACTCTCCAAAACCTCGGCCAATTGCAGTGTCGCCCTTACACCGAAACTCCTTCCGTTCACCCAAACTCCGAGCGGTATCGGATCTCACGCGGCCAGGTCGGCGTCGTGAAGGTGGAGGTTTAGGGGGCCGAACCCGCAATCCCCATCTGTCTAAGACATCTTGGATTGCCAGTGCCATTTCTCACCTCTGAAACCACTATCTTGACTGGGTTTCAGTCGTTGACTGGCATTTTTGGTGCGAAACCAAGAGTGCCATCCGGATAGTGTTAGTCTGTTCGTTGAGAACGATTCACTATCCGACTAGGTCCTCTGCACCTTCGACCCTCGCCCCAAGAGTGACGTCTGCAGACGTCTGCTCCAAGAGTCGTTCCTCCCAATTGACGGGGGTGAAATGTACGGATCAACCACAAAGTCATATAGAATCACAAGTAAACGAAGCGGATTTTGCCATGCTTTGGTAGCTTCAAACTTGAAGGGATCATGGAGCACTCTCACTGACCCGTTGGAGCATTTCCCGCGCCTCATTCTCCTCAAATGGCAACACACCGGGATTGTTCTGCACATAGTCGCTCACTGCTTCAACAAGCCTCGGATTGACGAGTGCCGCGTGCCGCAAACTTTCAGGCGCTGCAATACCAACATCACTGAAGAAGCTTTGTTGAGTTCTCAACATCTAATTTCGAGTACGCATACGACATACACAAATCCAAGCCTTTTATATAGCATGGCAGCCTTGCCCGGGAGCGCAGTCGCACTAAGGGGCAAATCCTGTGTAGGTCTTATCTGACCGCTATTTTGCAAAGACGGGGGGGTGTCATCTTCCGCAACCTCATGTTCTGACCATCCGTGTGCAATCCTTCCTCTGATCCATTGATCGAAGCCATGACATGCCTTGACCAAGAGGTCTACGCCAAAACTGCGATGTTCAGTCCGCAACCCGATGTGCTGATGTGCTGGACATGTATTTCGTCGTGCTGCTCTTCTTGGAGACCTTGAACAAACATTCCAGCAGGCTCCCAGCAAACCAGGAACAGTTGCAGCTAGATGTCCACAGTCGCATGAACATCACAAGGAACTTCACTCTTGGTGAACTGGTTTCAGTGAACATCGAATCCGATGATATTTACTTATTGCATCTTATTCCCCGCTACGACTGCCACCATGGCTATCCCCAGAATGCGCCATTTTCATGCTACCGGCCGAGCGACAACACGGCAAAGACAAAGACGATGAGCAAAAGCCTGAGTGCGCTTTTGCTGGCTGCACTTTTGCTGGCGCAGCAAGAAATGGCTTCAATTATGGCTGTGAGTCAAAACCTGAGCCCCTTTCACGTCCTCGTTGCATAGGTCTTTTTAATGGTGAACCTTCAGGTTTCTAAATGGCGCAACGGCTTTAAAGGGAAGGGCTGCCATCGGGGGTGTAGTAGTTGTGGACATTGTGATTTGATGTTTGTTTTGATGTGTTTAGGTATTTGGACCAACAATTAATGGCACCCAGTGGACTTTTTCACCAACGAAAGGTGTCTACCAAGACATGTCTGAGACAAATTGATGTCTTTATTTGAGAGTCCTACCAAGAAGTCACATGAGAAGTCCCGCTTACAAGCCTACAAACTCAATATAGTTGGCATCTTCAGCTTCGACGGCTGGAAGATCTTCCTTTCAGCAAAGGGAGCTTTACCAGAATGTTTCATCTGCCGAATCTTTCCAATTGTGGTCTATTATTTCCAGCAGTAGCTTGTGTTAGCCAGTTTGTACTGTGTTGCTGTTGTTGTTGTTGTTCGAAAGCACAACAATCAGGAATTGCAGCAGTCTCCAGCCCTACGTGAACCAGTTTTCCTGGACGAATCAACACCACTCCCCCCCAAAAAGGGAACTTTATCTTTCTCACTCTTTCTTGTCTCCAGGTTGCAATGCCATCGCCCAGAACAGGGATCGCAAGGTGTAGACGATGGAAGTGACCAGCGTGCGCAAGGCCATCACAAAGCCTCAGTCGTGTGAACAACAGGACTGATTTCCTGGATCTTCCCAGTGACCTTTTGATCCCCTGGTTTGAGGTGACTTAGGCCTGCAAAAGGTCACTTGCTGACTCCAAAAAGGTCAGTGGGAGGGTCCTGGTTGTTTTTTTTTCTACGTCGTTGCTACCCTGTACGTCGACCAGGAGACTCTGCAAGTGAGCTACCTCTTTGAGGGTCAGGGATACAGGTTTCAACATCTCTATATACCTTTGATAGTCCAGGTAGAACAATATTTGGTTATGATTCAACAGGATATGGATGGATATGGTGATGACGATGACGATGACGATGATGAGGATGGGGATGAGGGTGATGGTGATGGTGATGATGGTGATGCTGATGCTGATGCTGATGCTGATGCTGCTGCTGATGATGATGATGATGATGATGCTGATGCTGATGCTGATGCTGATGCTGCTGATGATGATGATGATGATGATGATGATGATGATGACGCTGATGCTGATGCTGATGATAGGGATGATAGGGATGATAGTGATGATTGTAATTTGTGATAATAATGTAATAATGATGATATACAGTAGGGTGCCCATTCAACATGAATATGACCACCAATTTCATTGTCCTCTCGCCAGTTCCCGGGTCGGCAAAGTTCACTCACAAACTTACGGTAGGTTAGGAGTCGCAACATCTGTCGGAACAAAGGTCACAAGATGCTACAGTGGATCCACTATGACAAACATAAAAATAAGTTCTTAGATTCTAAGAAATGTGTTACATCTCGCCCCTGGGATGAATCTATGATCTGTCTCGACTCCTTGATTTCACCATCCATTTGTCATCATTTGTCTACGTACCATTTCATGCATCCGTTTTTTTCTCTCGGCCTTTGTTGGATCAACAGCATGTCCCCCTTTTCCTAGCGGCCTAGCGAAGAATTCTTGAAATCTGACCTTTTTCTCCTTGAAACTTCTGCGAAATGTCAGCCTCTCCTCAGCCCCCGCAGGCGCGCGCTCGACCAAAAAAGCACCCCAAGGAGCGGAAGACCCGCACCAAGCGCAAGGTCTTCAGGATCCGGGTCACCTGGGGGGTCATTGGCATGGGGGGCGGCCGTCCCCTTTCTTCAGCGCCCAGGTCGTCCGGTGGGAAAAAGGGGCGGACTTTGAATCCTTCTGAGGGGTTGGAGATATGAGGGATACTCAACTACTGCTATGCAGTCCGGTGCTGGCAGTCTGGCAGGCCTTGGAAGTCTGAGTAGGAAAATCCAAACATTCCGAGAACGTCCAGGTCTTCGACGATGCTTGGGAGGGTCTTAAGGTGGATCAGGATCTCTCAAGAACTGCAATCTGACACCACTTGTAATCCTTGCCTTTGAACAATGCCTGTAGCTCAAGTAGGGAGACCTCCCAGCATTCGCTTCCCCCAATGGAAGCCAAATAGACCACAACCCCCTAGGCCAGGAGGTCTCCCTAGGCCAGTAGGTCTCCCACTCAACTGGCCCAGGCGCCCGGATGATGCGAAAAGCTTTGAAGCCTGAAATGTTCAAGACGCTGTTCGCCAGGGCCTGGCAGATGGCGAACCAAAGAAGATGTCCAGCCAAACCACCCAAATCCCAATAACAGGCCAAACGTGTCTTCTCTTTCTATTTCCTGTAGATGACTTTAGGGGCAATGAAACACCATGTTGAAAGCAGACTTGACAAATTGTTGTGACGTTTGAAAAAAGAAAAAAACCGAGCTCCGTCTTGTGATCTTTGTGAAGCAGCCTGCTATTGGTACAAGCATGTGTTCAAATGCCAGATGTAGCCAATCATATGAATCTGTAATGAACCAATGGAACAAGGAACAACGGAAACAAGGTTTTTTAAGCTGTTGTCTTTTTCGGCTTTCTTCAGAGTGCATCGTTTGTGACAGTATATAGGTTTTCCCAGAAGGAAATTGACCCATGATTCACCCACAGGGCAAAATCACCCAAATCACCCTAACCAAGAAGGAATTGAACAGAAACAACAACGGCCTTTGTACCGCCAAGAGGGACCTCAACAACAACACTGAAAATGGTTGCAGGGCCCCCTGAGAGCTGGTTAATGGACACCCCCAGGAACTATTATTAGACATGCCTTAGGGGCCCTGGTTAAGATATATGTATGTTTGAGGTTTTATGACCGTCTTGGTCCCTTAGGAGAATCCCCGAGCTGCTCCACCTCATCCTGGGTGATCGCCACAGCCACATTCCCCACCTGGTCTTCCACGAAGACAGTGCCGCCAGCAAGGATTTGGAGTAGGTTTTGGGGTGGTAGCTCATCACTAATCTAGTTTCACACATGTTTCTTGGGTGACATGTTGCCCCCGCAGAAAAAAACAACATAAACAACATGTTAAAGTATGTTAAAGTTATAACAAATCGGATTCCATACATTTGTTGTTTTGAACCTGCCTGCGTGTCCTGGCTGGCTGGACTGCCCCACACCACATCACACCGCAATCTCCAAACAAAAAAACAAAACAAAAAAGGATGGTCTACGTCAAATTGCGCTAAAGTGAGCAACAAAAGACCTCCAGTAGGACCATATTAAAACGACCTAAAGGACCATGCAATGGGTTTGGCACTGATTGAGCCAGAACATATCTAAGATGGCCACTTCTGGTCCCCATATGTCTCCATGGTTGGCAACCACCAAGTCTATGTTTACTTTCAATTTATCAACAATCCATCTATGTGTTTTTTATTTTAAGATCGTTGATTGCTTCATCCAAGTCTCAGAAATCTTCGACAGTAACGCGCAACGCCCTGCTAAATGAAAGGTCCCATCTCTCCTGTGCTGTGCTCCACCTCTTTCCTCGTCTCTTTGTCCCAAGGCACGACTTCCACCAGGGAGGTCAAGACGATCAACGTGTCCAAGCAGATCCAAGACCATTCGTCCGAGCAGAAGAGCGAACCTGCCGCTACGAACAGATGGACGCCACGACGTCGGTGACGTTAAAATGAAAAAAGATCTGAGATGGACACCTGGTTGACTTTAAAAAACAACAACTAATAATTAATATGCAAGAATTCTGCAAGAATTCAGCAAGCAACATCAAACAACAAATGTATAGAGCACAAATGACAACAACATAGAAGTCAGTAGCAGGGTTGATGTCTGCAGTGCTTGTCTAGCAAAATTTGTAATCCAGTGGTGTAGAGATCCAAACCTAAAGTCTCAGAAAAGACGAGGAGCAACCAAAGGCCGCAAAGCGCAAGATGAGCTCAATGGTGAAGATCGCAGAGAAGGCGTATTGGGTGGCAGTCAAGAAGACGGACCTGCGTACCGTGCCGGGATTCTAGGCCGCTCCGGCACAAGGACCTGTCGTTTTCGCGCAAAGGGAAGGATCGGTCCAGAAAGCGTGAAGACAAGCCAATGGTGAATGAACTGGATGAGCCAAAATCTCAGACATTCTCATACGAATTCAGTGTAATTGAGTCTAGTTGAGCCGCGATTCATCGCGATTCCAGGTTGAGTCTATAGTTGATTCTTAGTCGAGTTGACTGGCAAGTGGCTGTGGTGCATCGTTCCAAATGCTCTCCTGGCGACGTGTCCCGGATCGATTTTGTATGCACAGAGAAGCAAAATGAACCCAACACTCACAAACCCTGACCAATGCCATTGGGAGTTCTTTTGCTAGCTAAGGAGACTGGGATCCAAGCAGGAATCTCTTCGTAGCAGTACAGGAAGCCATTCTGGCTTCAAGGAAGTCCTTTTTTCTGTCAATTTGTTGCCTGCTAAAAAGGGTCTGGAAGGTCAACGTGACCCGCCACTGCCTTCCAGGTACACCGCCTGGACTAACTAGACCTTCACACCTTGTGACATGCGGACAGCCAGCCACGGCTAGCTGCAGAGATGAATGTAGACGGCCAGCCACATGCCAAGCTGCGTGAAACTGCTGGACAAGGCTGTTGGAAAGGAGTGACCATGGACCAGGAACAAACTCATGCTACGGCATATCGCTTCGGACGATCGTGAAAGCAAAACAAAAGCGAGAACAAAACTGGGAGGTTGGTCCCATTCTATAGGTCCCAAGCCAGAAAATCCCACCAAGACTGCACACCCCAAACCATGGAGCGCCATTGGACCGAGCCCAAAAAAACCGAACCAAACCTGACCGCAGACCCGGTCCGGTCGGGGGGAACTGAGACACATGGGTCCTGAACTTCAAAGGCGATGAAGAAGCAATTGATGAGGACGATCATGGCAAAGAAGCCATCAAAGGCTGGATGTCGCACAAAGTCTTGTAGCCGAGTGGGTGGTGCTTCCTGAAGCGAAGCGACCAAGCGCGACGCCGCATTCCGCGAGATCCGCCGCGAGTGGTGTTCGTTGGCGGAAGAAGGATGGGATGTTGAAGATGATCCCCTTTGCGGGAGTGGCTGGAGGAGCTTAGTCGCTCGAAATGCACGAGTGATATGATACGGGGGCTCAGATCCCTGTACTGTAAAGGATAGTCTGTTCATTCGTGATTTCTTCGTGCGATGAGGGAGACGAAGCACGCACCCTTGCGCTTTTGGGATGTGTGAACCCATCAACTAAACCTCAACGACGACAATTTGACTGTTGCTCCAGTGGAGACCCAACACTATTGTTGGAGGAACCGTCAAGAATGGCTGCCTCCCAAAGAAACACTTGCATCTGCGTGAGAACCTCCAAGATTATTCAGGTGTGATTGCAGCACCAAAACTTCCTTGGATGCTCGCATCAGGCTTGATGAACAACAACACGTGTTCGCTGTTTTGCCCTTCGAGCAAGCAAGGAACCCAAACAAGAAATAACAAGACATTATATAATATACATGCTCTCGGGATCCAAGTAATTACCTTCTGAGAAGGTACTTGGATCCCTTTTGGATGAAATACTGAGACCGAAACACACAGTAGTCAATTCACCCCCCCCAAAAAAAAAAACAAATTGAATCAATGTAGAATCTTCCACCCTCCTTTTCCCCACCCTTCTGGCTCCGTTTCTCCAAGCCCTTCAGACCTGAACTCGGGTCCGCCGCTCCTGATCCACGCTGTGCTGCAGCTCGTGGTCCGCGTAGCGCTGCCGCGTGATCCGCGAGTCCTCGGCCTGCGCCCGCGCACGGAGCGCCAGGTCCGCCTCCGTGAAGGTGGTGAACCTCGGTGGTCTTCGTCGGTCTGAGGGTGAGCGATGAGGAGCGGGCGGAGGAGCGGTTCCTGGTTCGGTTTGGGTATGGTTTTGAAGGTGGTGGAGCTCCTTAAACAGGTTTCAATCCAGGTGATGATGAGAGGAGTGGGAGTCATGGAGATCTATTAGGGGGTTCAGAATCCGGAGCGAAAGCGTTCGATTGAAATCCACATGACTATAGAGTGGCAAGAGTAAGCAGCTTACAACTTTCTGAAGCTTCTCCAGATTTCTGCACTGGATCTGACATCAGAAATAACGAAATTCAATCTTGGGCGCTCGGTTGGCGTGCCGTGCTTCGAGCCAGGCAGCGGTTGGTTTGCTCTGATTGCTACATGGGCTTGATGCTGAACAGAAGGGGGCCGTTCACCCAGCTGATAGCTGGGGCGTTCACCCATCACAAGGGGCTCATTTGGCGATCCGGGGAACCTGGCTACCGAGATGTGAAAAGCGGACGCACAAAGACTCTGGTCACAAGTATAGAGCTGTGATACCTATGCCTGTCTTGATCAGGTGTCTGCATGAATCACAATTTGATTGATGGTTTCTGTTCGATTCTTTACTTGGGAGATATCGGAGATACCCCAAAAGCCCAACACCAGCGCCAACGGTTGCCATCAGTCCTGGATGTTGAACCTTCTCTGTGAACCCTTCCCCTGCCTTGAGGCTCAAACTCCCGGCCGGTCACAAGAATTTCTCTCTCAGGAGAATTTCCCGGCCGGTCATACCCAAAGCCTTCCAAAATCATATGTTTTCTTTTCTCCTGAGATACTTTCCGGTGAAAAGCATGTTCCTTCACATCTTCTGTCCCCCACCAGGGCTGGAGAATCACAACTTGGAGCATCATCTGCTGTAGGTTGGTTGATTTATGATTTAATTATGCGGGTCAGTCATCCGTTTCCCAAAAACTGAAGAGCACAAACATGCATCCTACCCAGTCTGCGGACCATTCACAATTCTTATCACCTGGGCGGCACTCCAAACAAAATCCCGCCCACCGGCTCTTTGACCGTATTTCCTATACAAGTTTTGTCCAAACAATCCACAGAACTCATTGGAAGCAGTCGATAAGCAGGGAAGAGGTAGGAGTTTCACTTTTTTTGAAGCATGATCAATGTAGGTGAGAATCACCTGATGTTTCATGCTATCCAAAGATGTCCTATCCAGTGTCATTCAAAGGCTGCTTTAGACAGCACGTTGGGAAGGCTTAGGATCCAAAATCACCCACATCATGGAATTTGGGTAGTCTTGGTTCCATATGATATGTACACATCCATATACAGTATATTACCCACTCATCGGACGGTCCATTCCGCGTCGATGTCATGACAGATACTCTGATCTGATCATGAAAAGTCCCCAAACTGTACAGCACAAAGCACAAGAAAACCTAACTACGGCGAGAGAAAAGGGGTTCGCCACGACTCGATTGTGCGGCCACAACCCGAACAAAGCGTTCGTGCCAAATAAACAAGAGTTTGATCTTCGATCAAAGGAAAAGCACGGATGATGGCACTTTGAGGCAACACCCGGCCTGCTGACTTTACAAAGGTAGCTGAAAATTCTCCAGGGCAAACTTGGACCTTTGGGTCCTTCAGCAAATAAGAGTCTGCCTGGCTAATGTTGCTTTTTGCCTGGTGTAGTTTGGTCTTTTGATGTTGTTTTAAAATCATGTTGATGTCCAATATGTTGGAAAGTGTGTTTATGTTTGCATGTTTTTGTTGTGAAAATGAAATTTGCCACTACTTTGGCACTGTCACATCAGAGTTACTGACCATCACATATGCAGAACAAAAACACATATCAACGCAATGTTCATAACATGTATGTACAGTAGGGTGTGTCGTGTATAGGGGTTAAACATTTGTCAACAAACAAATTGAGTTTGTCCACTGGAATCAAGGTGCTGGAAGAGTGCCACTATCAGGTTCAATTGGGCGCTGAAAGAGTGCCATCAAACTAAATTGGCTCTGGAAAGAGTGCCATCAGTTTCAATTGGCACTGGAAGAGTGCCACTTAAGTCTTACCGCCCGTAGCGCCATTGCAATTCAATTTGTAGTGTTCCTTGAGTCCATTATTACACATATAAGTTACATGGATTGGCGCTGAAAGAGTGCCACTTGAGTTTTACCGCCCGTAACTTACGCCATTGCAATTCAATTTGTAGTTTTCCTTGAGTCCATTGTTCACATATAAGTTAAATGAATTGACACACACACACATATTTTTAGTAATACTTAACAGTGTATTAAACATGTTTTGGCTGGTAATGAAGGAGTGTCCAGGGCTGAAAGGTTACCCAGAAGTTAACATGGCGCTGGAAGAGTGTCCCAGCACACTGCACTGGAAGAGTGCTAATTGGCCCTGCGGCGCTGTAAGAGTGCCCAGCACAGAAGTGCTTCCGACTGGCAGTAAGAGTGCCCCCAGGCCTGATTCACAGCAAACACATGCACCAAACTCTTGCAGCACAGATTCAAAATGTTGGTACTCTTCCAGCACCAAAACCTGCAATACTGCACTGAGCAGCAGGCAACAAGATCAGCCTTGGCGACCACACACAATGACAAAACAATTCAAGTCAAAAAAGAGAACGTGAAACCAAATCAACTTAAAGTTCCACCCCTGTTCAAAGTGAATCCTTGTTTTCCAGCTGCCAGTGCCATGTCCGTTCATGCGTTCCTGTGCTTCTTCTCGGGCTGGTGCTCAGGCTCATTGGGCTGCTCCTGCGGCTGCTCCTGCGGCTGCTGAACAGTAGGGTGTCCAGCCACCATGATGGCCTGGTAGGCGACTGATTCGGCCCTCAGCAAGAGAAGCTGCGCCTCATAATGCTCCCGCTGAGCATCTAGCAGTGCCTGAAAATGCTCCCTGAGCATTCTCTCTCGTTGCCCTGCTCCTCGCCTCACCTGCGCAGAGTTGTGCTTGTGACCTGGCTGTGGTTTACTCCACTCTTTGGGCAGTGGCTCCCCGATGGGCATTGGTTGCCCACACACGGGCATGGGTTGCCCACCCATGGGCATTGGTTGCCCACCCACAGGCCACATTGGTTGCCCACCCATCATTGGCATTGGTCGCCCACCCATGGGCATCGGTTGTTTAGCCACAGGCCGCATTGGTTGCCCACCCATCATGGGCACTGGTTGCCCAGCCACTTGCCCACCCATGGACATTGGTTGCCCACCCATCATCGTTGGGATTGAAGGTCCCCTGCACATGGGCATCATCCCCTGCCCCATCAACATTGCCGGCCTTGTTGGCACTTGAGGCACTGGCCCAGCCCCCATAGGTGGCGGGGCTGCCACTGGCGGCACAGGCGGCACAGTCTTCTGTGTTTCGGTCCCCTGGGCCAATTGCTTCGGCTCTGGGGCTGCTGCTTGCTTTTGCTCCACTGGTGCTTTTGGAGGCGGAGTTGGCACAGTCTGCTTGGCAGACTCAGTTGCAGGGCCATGTTTTGCTGGATCTGGGTCTTGCTTCTTTGCTGTTGCTTTTGGAGTAGCGCCTCGCTTCTCGGGCATGCTGAAGACAGTGCAAGGCGGCCCTTGCACCAACATAGTCTGGTGGACATGTTTGGGAACTGCCCCAACTTTTGAAGATGCCTGTTCTACTGGCATCTTCTTCTGTAGCACCTGCTTTGCCAAAGGTCCTTGAGGTAAGGGTTTTTTTCTGTTCTCAGACTTTGGCATGGGCGGTGGGTCATCCGACATGGCTGCAGAACCTTCTAATGGAAAGCGCTGGGCAAATCAAGGCAATACACACAGTGATTCTATCGATGTGTTGATATTCATTCAACAACAAAACGCAGCAAACTTTGAGCACCAAAATGCTTCCATATCTGAATGAAAGGCAACCCACAAACAAAGCCTTCATGATCAGCACAAACTCTACTGCCCACCAAGGTCAGCACCATTGAGCACAATTGAGAGGCATCCAGGTCGAGCCTCACCATCCCCCGCTTGCAAGCAAGTGTCAGGGCACTTTTGATCATAGAAGAAATATTTCAGAAATATGGAAAGGTACTCTTCCAGCACCGCAGAACCGGTCGTTGGTACTCTTCCAGCACCATTGGGGGTACTCTTCCAGCACCAAGACTAACAGAAGACAAAAGCATCAAGGATGTGATTGAGGCCCATGCCATGACAAGACATGCAGTACCTGGAGCAAGTTCAAAGCAGGCACCAACAAGTGGCCAGTTCAGAACTGATGAACAACTGTTGCAATCCTTCAGCAAAGAATACATAACACAAAATTTCCACACATGAGCGCATTATGTCATCAGAAGTCTGATTCCTAAAGCGCAGACTTGACGTTCAGGTCAGTCTGGCAACATCCCAAAGCAAGATTTGGATGCATGGTTTGCCATAGCAAGGCATATCACTCCTCGCACTTCCCATGCCATCTCCGGAGGACTTTCAAAATCAAAGCGCCGGCAGCTCACCTCTTCCAACCAAAACAAAGACAAATGGATTCAACATAGCATGAGCATTATGGTTGTCCTGTCTCGTCACTACCAGAATTTGAGCCGCAGGCCGCTTCTTGTGCTCAAGCGTTGGGCTTGGCAAGCATGACTGCCTTCTTTGCCTTGACGGTGAACTGCTTTGCAGTCACAACCATTGGCCGTATAGGCTGTAGCCCCTTGGCAGCAACAGCAGGCCATTTGACTGCCCAGACCAACAAGGCAAGAGCGCTTGCCTCCCATACTTTTGATGGGACTGCACCAGCCAGATGGGCAGCTGGAATCATGAGCTTATCAGGCGAATCCTCAGTTTCTGTCTTCACTGATGCCGGGAAATCAGTCACCTTGAAGTAAACAGCCATTTTCTTTGGCTCCAAGCGGAAGGCAGCTGCATCTGTGGGAGTGGGCGCATCTATCAGCTCATGGTAAGAGACATGACCATCAGCCGGAGTGACCTGCCGCTTCAACTTGATAACCTCTCCCAGTGTCACAAACTTTGAGTTCAACATCACATGGTCTGAGTT